GCACACGTTTACACTGTTAGGCAGTCCGAGGGGAAGAGGAAAGCCGTATGGCCACACGTCTGTGGGTTCTACATACTTACTGTCGCCAAGAGACATTTATGTCCTATGTAAAATACTTTCTTCCTTAGAAATTTTGATTAACGTAATATAGTTGCTATTAGATTTATCTGTCGTAGTCTGTCAAACATGGTTCGTAATTTGTTTACATGTTTCTGTAAGCTTGTGTAGGAAATGAAGGTAAATATCTGAAACACGTTCCCGTCACTCCATACAAAACGAAGATTTTATTTGTAATAGTTAGTATTTTTGCCAACAGTATAGGAATTGATTATCCTTAGTACACGAGCATTCCCCACGAGCGTCTCTGAAATTGTTAGTCAAAATTTCAAGAACTGATTTCGGCAGCGAAGAATAACGTCGCTTACGATGTTTCTCTTTCCTTCTAAAATTTCTCAAAACATAATAATTTAAATATAAATTTTAAGCGCTCTCAACATGCCTTATCATGCGTAACTATTTCCAGGCAAGATTGGATAACCCATTCTACATGAACATCATTTCGTGTGATAAAGGGCTTAACCTTTAGCCAACCAGCAATAGCGTCCGACCGTACTGACTATTTCTGACCGTGAGACCTTATGGAAGAAGAACTCCGAGGAGGGGCTCTAGGGGAGGCTCTATACAATTATTTCGTAGATACAGTTGCCATCTCGTAGAAACCGTTGGTTTTATCTAGCGAAGCAAGATCAGGTTTTTAAACCCCACAATTATCAGAAATACATCCTAAGGAATGGCACATTCGACATCTGTCGAGTTTGCGCTTATCTCGGCAAATCACTGAGGCATGTCATCTCTGGTTGTTCGACGCTTTCTTACTAAGATTACTTTCACAGGCACAACGTAGTAGTCTCGTGTATCGGAAACTGCCTTAATTTAAGTACTTGCTATGAGCCATACTCCAAAATTATAGATTCTAGCTCACCCGGCCGGTTCATTAACACAGACAGAATGAGCCTGATATTTTGCTGATGGACGAGAGAGAGTTGACGATATTTTTGGAATTTATTATCATTCTGTATGATAAAAACCTCGTAAATGCCGAAACAGTTAAGCGAACAAAAAATCTGAACCTCGCTCACGTGGTGACCTACATGTGGGGTGATGTGGGGTGGGGTGGGTATAAGTTACCTCAATATGTTTTATTCAACACCTAGCACTTGGTAAAAAGAGTTCTTAAATTGAAATTAACAAATTCCTTTGACTGTTGGGAATCTAACCCGGGCTGCTCGTGTACTTCGAAATTTGCAGCGAATTATTACCCACATTTATATATTTATAATAAATAATATGCTTTAATCTGTGAATTGGCTTTAAATGTTAACCAATAAAATATTTTTGTTCCCACTGAGAGAATCACTTAGCACATAGTAGATGTTATAATTCCGGTAGTACGATTCCAATTCACTTACTGATACTAGTGCCTGTTTCTAATGAAGAGTGCACTTGTGTCTCCAACAATGTCGTGAATGTTCATGGGCGAAGGCGGTCACTTATCATCAAAGAAGTTCTTCTATAAAAAGTATTTAATGATGATCTCGTGTTCGTTACCGATGGTTAAGGCAATGAGGTTAAATTTAATTCCATCATAATCCTGCATGTATTAAAGCTTTCATAATTTTCAAAATGGAATACCACAGTGCATGTACTGATCGGTAGCAAAAATATGTAAGAGGGTGATAGCACGTAGCAAAGATAATTTTTTTTTTCAATAAACTTGTTCTACCATCGTGATTACTTCCATTAAAAATAAACCGTTATTGATTTGTCTTCCGTAACGTGTCTTTGCATACTAAATAGAAAAGCATTTACCCAACTGATGTTGGTGAACTTTTTCTATTAGGTTTTTTGAAATCGTTTAAAAGCATTATAACGATCTATGTAGCCATCACAATATTATTAAAATACTTCACATACATAAATAGGTATGTAATATTTCTACTTATATTGATTTTTCGTAAGCAGAATGTTGTCATATCTATTATCAATTTTGAATTAACATAAAGTGAACTAAAAAGTGACTGTGAAGTCATACCTAAAATAAATCTAAATGTACATGATGGGTTGAAATTAAAATTATACAATGGACAACAGAAACAACTTTTATTTTCTGCAACTGTGTCTTTCGTTACTTGGTTGGACAAATGATACGCACGGTTATTCACATGTGAAATGTATAGTTTTATAGGTGAAAACTTGTTACGTCATATATTATGTTGTTGAATGATACGCTAATTCAAAAATATTGTTACATTATCTAAAAATTCCTATAAAATTGATTAGATAAAGTAAAACAAAAATAAAATTAATAATACATTGGATTTACCAAAAAGACGTAAACTTTAAAAAACCATTTAATAGCTGCCTTAAAATATGTATTTGTGACTTGTCAACTTATTCACGCCTTGTACGATTAAATATGCAGAAAAGTCGTGTCTATAATATTTACCAGAAAAAATACCAATTCCAAAGAACTAAATAAAAGATTCTGAATTCAAACTACTGATTTTTAGAATTTCGTCATTCTGTTTGTGTATTACAATGGTGCATGTGGTTTACACACACCCTTGAGAAGATTTCCATGAAATTATGTAGAATATGTAGTTTTATGAGGTAGTAAAGACAGTCCGTGACCATGGGTTCTATAAAGTGCTCAATACATCGGGAAATTAAAATAAGTTAATATACGTGATAAATCAGTAAAAACTAGTTCTATTTCAATGTGTACTATTATTCCAAATATATAGTAAAACGTAATCATCGTATAGTAAACGTATCCATTGCACCATAACCATAACGTTACGTTATTTATAAAACACATAACGACACATCGCTGGTGTGCAGATCACATCGTTTGGTCAATACTTCGGCCGTGGATAGAAAAGAGGAAATCTCCCACTGGGTTGGATGTTCTGCCCGGGGAGCTACCATTGCTCCGAGTTGGTTTCTTATCATGTTAAAGCTGTTACCCTTTTGGTTTTTACAACTTCACAGGTCACAGGACTCGCGGCCTGAAGGCCGCGAACTGTAAAAAGGTGAAATTGAATCATTCAGATGTCTCCTATAAAAGTATACAGTGCACTTGGGTGAGATATCTAATGGCCATCCGAACAGGGGGTGACGGGTCCTGCTGTGACGGCTAACTCGTGTCGTTCGATATTCTGGGAGGTAGCAACTGCCCAGGGACGCGGGTATACGGTATATTCGGGGTATAGAGGGGTGTGGATGGGTTTGTGGCGTACGCGTCTGGTGACTTGCTATGTCTCATCCGTTGTACTTACTTATTTTTTTTTGGCACTAGGTGAATGTTGTGTCTATTTGTGACCTTGTGGCCGGTGACATTTGTGTCGTCGAAATCTAGAGGAACTGAGGTTTCTGTTTAACATTTGGAGTCGGAGCGTAGGTTGCTGCGTTTACCTCTAGCGGGTTGGGATGTGTCTCTGCGCTCTAAAAGTAGCGCCGGGATATTTCCTTGTAATATTCAAACATTGTCGGAAGTTGACAATCTTTGTGCAAGTACGAATTTCGCTGGTACCACCGAGCTCCGGGGATGTGACATCCCCAAGGTCCACTTGTATGAAGTGTGAAGAGGAGCGGGGAGAGAACGGAGCGCTGAGCGACTCCAGCCCTGAGCGGGTGCTTTAGCGAGCTCCCTCTACACGAAAATGGAAATGGCGGTTCGCAAGCAAGGCTCTGACGATGTGAATGAGCCTATCAGGCACGTTAAAAAGATGCACAGCTAAACTTAAACAGCTTGTAAAGCAAGCCGTCGTGTCAGACTTTGTTATACGCTTTGGTGACGTCTAAGAAAAGGGTAAGTAGGCAGATTTAGACAGTGGTAGAGCCACGCGGCAGCCTTTGCTGTTGCACGCGTTGACCGGCTCAAACCGGGGTGGTACCACAACCTCACAGAAGACCAGCGTGAAGTAAAGGCTTTGATTCTGCATTTCGTCTGGTGAGTGCAGATGGCCGGAGGTCCTATCCCCCCCTATCAACATGGTAGCGGAAATAAAGCAAGACTACCCCAAGAGGGTACCAGCACCCCTGGAGAACTCCTCGCTGAGCATCCACGACCAAGCCTCTCTCCAGAACGTGGGTGCTCAGGCTTCCCAGCGTATTCTGGGGGGGGGGGGAGGGCAAATTCCGTTCGAGACTAAACCTGCTCGAGGCAAACGGAGGAATAAGTCAAATTATTGTTGGTGGAGACCATATTGAACAGGTATATGAAGTTCGTAACTTGGATATAATTATGGACAGTAGACTAAGGTTTGAAAATCTGAATGAAAAACGAAATGCATACAGTGAAAAATTGTTTTTATAGATTAAAATTATTATATAATAGCCGGTAATACTTAAGTGAAGAATTAAGGGTTCAACTTTGCGAGTCAGTAATACTCTCGAAACTAAATTATGCTGATATTGTCATGCGAGAGTGTATACTCGGGTCTGTGGTATCCTGGTCTTTAGGAACCAAATGAGTGATCCCAATAATGAGTTAAGAGGCTCGGGAAAAACTTCTAGTTGAGAGCCTCTTGGAAATGTCGGGCGAGCACAGTGTGACGCACCACAAAACCCTTCAGCCAGTAGTGATGCAGTCCGTCGAGTCCCGAATTTTTCCAGTTCGGGGCCCTACGGACCGCCTCAACTAGTCATCTGGCGTTAAAATGACGGGGTCCATGGGCGTTATACTCACACACTGACTCGCCACAACTTCCATCCAAGGGTCCTCGCTGTGGTTTATGGGCTCTGACTACAGGCCGCGCCAGAATATTAATGTGTCGGTCTGATTCGGTGCTGGGCCCGTTCCACTTACAATTGGTTGCTTCAAAGATTCATAGAGCCTCTTCTGATCACTGTGGAAGAGACGATTCTGGTTGAACCGTGTCGTGCTCTCGGTATATCGCCGAATCCGCTTTCCTCAAGCAGCGATTCTCTCCTTCAGATCATCTATGCGCTCCGTCACTTTTTGCATTATATACGGCTGGGACAAAATTACATTTTGTCTCAGCAAACGCCATCCTGACGGTGCGCATAATTATTGGCCTGTTATTGCCTGATCTGAAGCACATCAGTCTGCCGATGAGAGCTCTAGCCTTCTCGATACGCTCCTCAATTCTTCTTCTCCATGCTGGGATAGCGCTACTTTGGCAAGTAGCGATTTCAGCCGTGGAAACTCTGGCGCCTATGATACGGCAGACTTCCAGCGCGGCGCGAAAAAAATTGAGTCCGTATCGCAAAGGTCCCGGCTGGCTTCCAAATAGGTCACCAGCATTTGGTTCAGAGCCCTCACGACAGCCCGATTCAGCTTGCTTAGGGCTATACGGGGAAGTTGCGGTCGATTTTCGAGACGCGTACTGCGCGTTTCCACAATCGCCTCTTCCAATGTACTCCTCATTTGCTCTATTTCTAGTTCCTGGGCGAATGTTTCATCATCATTTGAATCAGCCACCACTGGGGTATTCACAGCGGTATCCACGTGTGCGAGTGTCCTGCAACTTGTGGCACCGCAACCTCAGCCGTAGCATTTGATGAGGGAACAGCCTCACGTAGTAGCCGTTCGAGTTCGGCGCCATCAAATATATTTGAGCGTAAGATATACCGAACTCGGTCTGCCAGGTTTTGCTCGGTGAATATATTATTATTATTATTGGGGTATCTATATAATTTTCTCACCTTGTTGGGTTCTATAAATATATAATTATAAATTAAAATGAAAAGATAAATATACATAAATATCAATAAAATAAAATAAACACAAAAACTACATAAATAAATAAGATCCAACCAGATGGGAGCCCTCGGCAGGGGAGACCAAACGGCCGAGGGTTAGGGGGAAAGGGAAAGAAACCACCGCCTTCTACATTTGAGCCCGGAGCGGTCCGTCACGGAGTCCCAGTCGCCTCAGATGACCCGAGAGGCTGACTGGGATTAGCCCATTCGCAGAGACGACTACAGGAATAATTTCGGCCAGCAGACCACCCCACATGTCGGTCACCTCGTGAGCCAGGTCCAGATATTTTGTTCGTTTCTCTGTTTCGGCTTTCACGAGGTTCTCGTCATACGGAATGGTAAAATCGATCAAAAATATCCTTGACTTTGCCCGTTCCATCAGCACAATATCAGGCTTATTCGCAAGAATAGTCCTGTCTGTGATGATGGCCCGGTCCCAGTAGAGCTTGGCGCGGTCATTTTCGAGCACGGCTTCCGGCAAGTACTTGTAATACGGCAATTTTCGGTCCACGAGACCGTATTTCAGAGCGAGCTCTTGGTGTAGAATTCTGGCTACTAGGTTGTGCCTGTGCAAGTATTCAGAGTTAGAAAGCGCCAAACAACCGGAGATGACATGCCTAAGTGACTCCCCGGGATGGCGACAAGCTCGGCAGACGTCGATAGTGCCATCCTTTAGGATGTATCTCCGATAGTTGTTGGTCTTAATAACCTGATCCTGTATTGCACATACAAAACCCTCGGTTTCCCCGAAGAGGTCACCGAAACGTAGCCAGTTGAGGGAGGCGGCTGTATCTATGTGAGGCTCATGTAGAGCCCTGTAGTACCTCCCGTGGAGCTCCTTCTCCTTCCATACGGTCTCCCGGTCGGAATTGCTCTGTATATATACATTATATCCGGCTGGGACAAACCAACATTTGTCCCAGCAAACGCCATCCTGACGGTGCGCACAATCCTTGGCCTGGTATTGCCTGACCTGAAGCATATCAGTCTGCCGATGAGGGCCCTAGCCTTTGCGATACGTTCTTCAATTCTTATTCTCCAGGCTGGGATAGCACTACTTTGTCCAGTAGCGCGTCCAGCCGTGGAAAGTTTGGCGCATATAATACCGCAGACTGCCAGTGCGGCGCCAAAAAGAATTGAGTCCGTCTCGCAAAGGTCCTGGCTGGCTTCCAAATAGGTAACCAGCATTGGGTTCAGAGCCCTCACGACAGCCCGATTCCGCTTGCTTAGGGCTAAGCGGGAAGTCGCGGTCGATTTTCGAGAGGCGTACTGCGCGTTTCCACAATCGCCTCTTCCAATGTACTCCTCATTTGCTCTAGTTCCAGTTCCTGGGCGACTGTTCCAGTCTGAATCAACCACAACTGGCGTGTTCACGGCGGCATCAACATTTGCCGTTTGCTCAGCAAGTTGTGGCGCCGCATCCTCAGCCGCAGGATTTTCACCCGATGAAGGAACAGCCTCACGTCGTAGCCGTTCGAGTTCGGTAACATCAAATGTATTATTATTATTATTATTATTATTATTATGTTTTTAGAAGAGTAGTCTCTACTATAGATGTATAAGGTTTTTGGTGAAGTAATCTTAAATTTAGTACTAAAACCAAGAATTTGCGCAGTATCGTGGTCCGATAAACGGAGAGGGAGGTCCAGTTGCACCTTCAACATTACTTAATATATGGTCAATACATGTTAGGTCTCTAGTGAGTTCCGTGACATTCTGAGTGAGATTATAATTTTGGATAATATCTAGTAAGTTGTTGGTCACATTATTTCCTATTAAAGTTAAAATGTGTGTTAAAATGTAAATAACATTGATATCTTCCACAATCACAATTTTTTGCTTCGAGTGCATTTGCAAATATTTATTTACTAAGTACAAGCTCCATTTTATCGAAGAATTCAAAATTCCATTTTTATAGCAGTTGTAGAGTGGTATACGCAGACAATAATTATGTTGTGATATGGTATTTTTATTGAACAGCATTCAAAATGAAAGTTGGCTGATACCTCGTCAAAAATGGTTATGTAGTTATTGCTGTGCTCGCAATTTCGTTAGCATAGAATCTTTGTAAGTAATTTCTTTGTAAGTAATTTCTTTCCACTTTAATGTATCGTAGTGAAAGCTGGGTGTGGCAGAAGAAGCTCGAAATTAAAATAAATGCTGTAGAAATGCGGTCTTTAAGGAGTATGCTAAGGTTGAATCTGAATGACAGGGTGATAAATTGCGTGATAAGAGATAAATGTGGTATGCAAGATGATGTTGTGACCAGGATTAAGAAAGGAATGCTTCAGTGGTTTGGTCATGTAGGAAGAATGAATGAGGAAAGAATGACAAAGCAAATTTATATGGCAGATGTGAACGGCAGAGTCGGTAAGGGAGCCCTAGAAGAAAGTTTATCGACCAAATTGGCGATATTTTGAAAAATGGGTCACGTTAGAAATGCCCTTAACCGACGAGCATGTATGCGTAGATATATGGATGTAAAAGAGGCGAAAGAGGTATGTCAGGATCGTGCCAAATGGAAGTCCGTAGTCTCTGCCTATCCCTCTGGGTGACAGGCGTGAGTGTTTATGTTATGTTATGTTATGTTTTAATTTCTTTGTTTTGATTTTTTTTAGTTTTTTTAGATTAACAGTAATAGTATATATATATATTTTTGTACTTATAATAAGCAACTTCATCACATTACAGATTAAGTGCATAAACGACTGAACACTGAAGATAAGGCAACATTTTTTTAATATCATGTAATAATTTCATTATGATATACGTAGTAGATCCGCGCTGCAAATGTATTATAGTTGTGATATGACTAGTTAGGCTCGACCGGGGAAGTACCACGCTCTCACAAAATATCAGCGTAAAATAGCTGCTTAATACTGCTTTGTTTCGTATGGTGAGTGTAGAGATTCGCAGACCCTTTTTTTACTAGAAATGAGACATTCCATCTTAGTCCTCAGGGGTGACAAAGCATCTGCGTTTTGATTCTTAATCGAGGATAAATGTAGATGTCTATGGGCCACAACATTCTCTTACCATCAGGTCGACTGTGTGCTCGTTTGTCACCCTTATTAAAAAAAATTGAATAAAACTAACAACCGTAGATTCAATAAGGAAATACAAAAAAGACATATTATATAAACAAATTGAAAAAATAATTCAATAAAAAATAACAAGGAAAATGTAAGCAATGACTCTAATTTATAAAAACATAGGATTTCTGGCATTGCAAACCTGAATATTATGGATTTACCTGCAATTAACATTTTTATTATACATATAAGAAGATATCTGTGACGTTTCGATTTCTTGGTTGATTATCATTTTATTCTTTGCGACCGTTTTGAGTCAGAGTTAAGTGAAAACGTGACCGCATAAGCCCCAAGAGATAATGACGTCATTAAGAGGACGACGGGGTAAATAATGAATGCCTTTGTCCCTTGTAGGTAAAAAAACTCAACAAGTTAAATTCAAAATTTTATTAATAATCCGCTACCAAACAAGAGCCTCTCCCATATATTGCCCCGTAAGGAGATTAATTGCCATAGTTGTCACGCTTGGCATGCTAGTTGGCAACCGCTGTTTTTTATTATTTTTAGTGATTTTACTTGTAGTATGATGAAAATAGACAATAAAGTGTTTAATGAAACTATTAAGATGACGATATTTTATACGGCTATAAGATTTTTTAATCTTTTCTTAATTACTATTAATGCAGTAAAGTCTTATTTAGAATTAATCATTTTTTTTTGTATTGCGCTTAGTAATAAAATTAATTCAAATTACAAAAGAACTCTAAATTTTTTAGATAATAAGTAGGTTCAAAAGCACTTTAGGCTTTTGTACCTCAAAATTTGTAAAAATTATCTGCTTTCTTATACATTTATAGTACTTTTTCGCACGAGACTGTTCATTTATATGTTTACTCATATGAGCGGTGAAACCGGAACTGTCACAAAAATCTTAATTTAACTAAAACTATGAAAGCTTATTAAATGCTAACTGTCAAACTGTTTTATAAGTGCCATTAAAAGTGAAAAAGTAAAAAAGCAGCTTAAGACTACATGAGTCTCACAACTGCGCATAGGGTTCTTAATTAGCTAGAGTATTTTTTGGGCAGAAAAGAGTCCATCGAACTTCAATGCGTAATAACGGTTTTCACATAGCTACGATTTTTTTAAACACCTCCAGTGGTAAAAGCAGCAGCGGCAGCCTTTGCACACATGAGCCGGCTCAAACCGGGGTGGTACCAGGACCTCACAAAATACCAGCGTCAATAAGAAACTTTGCTTCTGCGTTTCGTCTGGTGAGTGCAGGTGACTGGAAGCCCATTCACCCCACCCCCATGGGGGGTATCAACATGGTAACGGAACTAAATAGAAGACTACCCCAGGTAGGTAATGGTACACCCTGTAGCAGCACCCCTGGTGAATCTTTCACTGAGCATCTATGACCACGCTACTTCACTTCTGAGCTTAGGTGCTCAGGCTGCCCAGCGTATTCTGGGGGGGAGCATAATTTCGCTCGCAACTAAACCTGCTCGGAGCATACGGAGCAATAAGTCAAAGGCACCCCTTACCGCCGCCTTAACGCCGTCCACTACCTAATCGCTGATTGTTTTAAGCGTATTAGTTGTAGGGTACGTTTTGACCTTTTTGTATGTATTTTCGTGGGATAAAAGTTGTTGTATTTTTAAATTATATTCTTCTTCTCCAATACTCCAATACTACCGTAGCATTTCCCGTATCTTTATAAGACATAGATCTTTTTTTATATTTATTGATTAAAGAGGGTTTGATCTACTACATCAAGTCACCCGCATAGGTACAAAATCAAATGTATAATCAATGATTAATTCACATAAACCATATTAAGAGATTACCTGTTCTTAGTACCTATTAATACAAGTATAAAAAGTTTTCTAGCCTTATCCCACAATAGAAAAGCTAAGATACTATTATATAATCCAACACTATTTTTGTCAAAACCTAATTGTTTTCTATATGTTTCGTTCCGTTCACATTCCATCAAAGTATGAATAATATCTGCCACAACTCCACATTTTCCATAATTTAGTGAATTAACTTTTCTCATTACAAACGCAAAGTTTAGTGGTATATATCCGGAACGGAGCATCAATGCTGTAATAATTTCTTGCTTTCCCATATTGCATCCTTCAAACTAAAGAAAGCGGGGGTATCGTCTTGTACCAAATACCTTTTAAACGTAACCTTACATCCAAGTATTCGGACCACTTTTCTGTACAGTTTTCTCGGACTTTAGATAATTAGATAAGAGTTCAGAGGAGTAAGGTACACAGTCGAAATTCTCAACGTCAACAACGTCTACCGCCTCATTTCCCTTTAAGCCAATACGGTAAGGCACCCATTGTAAGACAATCCTTTTGTGGTTTGTTTTTAATGTTACAATATTACTAGATAATTTACGCTTACGGAGCTATATTGAGCAGTCGTGCCTATCAGCAATAAAAGTGTTTAAATATTTTCAATAAAATTGTGACCTAGATAAACCATTGGACAATTTCTGTTGAGTTATAATTTTATGAATAACAAATTATAATGAAAAACATTTGATATAAAACATGTCTAATACATACGAAAATAGTCCTTTCAATTGGGGCACCATTACATCTCAGATTCTGCCCAGCACGCCTCAACCACCACACCATGATGCTGCAGACCCCATCGAATTTTTAGCCACCAGTGAAATAAAAATTGGATGACCTCAATCGAACAGTGTCTAAATGAAGTTTGCCATATTGCCCAGGAAGGAAAACTGAATTCTGAACAAAAGCTGAGAATCAATTCCCTATCGCGCAAGGTAGGTAATGCAGCCTCTCAGATGGCAGTTTACTACCAATCTTTGAAGCAAAAGGATATTTTAATGCACACCTATCTTGAAGCACTAAGAGAAAAACAAGAACTAATGGAATGCCTAAATGATTTTAGAAAATCTCTTAAGGAAACGATTCACGAAAGCTGTGCCAAACCATCTATAGAAAAAATGTCCTTTGCTGATATGGTCAAAACAAACAAAAATAATTACTTGCGCTCCAATACATTCAGTTCCAGCAATTTATCCTGAGAATAAATAAACAAGTGAAGACACAAAATCTCTTGTCCAGAAAATTATATGCCCCGAACAATTGAAACTACATGTAAGAGGAC